CGTCTTGTTAGCAACGACGACTTTGTTGGCTCGGCATTTTATCGCGACGTCCCTAATTTATTTTGGAATTGCGACCGACTCGGCAATAGACAGCTCGATTACCTGCACACGTTGTGTCGTCCAAGAACTCATCCGTCTTTCTTTCTTCCCCTGTGATTATTGCTGCTGGGAATGAGATTCAAGTTCATTTTCCCGCAAAAAAAAGCTGCAGTAAATACGGTGAGATCTTGACAAATGAAAGATTTGACTTAGGGGAATTGAAAACTTGAAAAAAATTGCCCACACATCCTGACGATCTCTGGATAGATACCCACTCCTCAAACATTTCTACAAAACTGTAATACATAATTTTTCTATATTACGATATCTCCTGAACCAGTTGAACCATTTACATTTGCAGAAGTTGAAAGTAAGGATCATCACGTTCCCGAGTGAAATCAAGAAGTGCTAGCTCCAAAGAGAAGAAATATTTTCTTTTGCTCAGAACAGGCACCGAACTCCTCTCTGGTGAATTGTATGGGTGATACCAAAACATTTTCTCAAAACCTTCCCTGTATTTGAAATTGAATTGAATTGAACCTCTGCAAGTTGAACTTCAAGGAACCGGACAAAATATTTCGGGTCAGGGAGGTTTGGAGTTGGAGAAACATATATTTTTGTTCTGGGAAAAGGAAGACGAATTAAAGGAAATTGTAATTTTTAGCATTTCAGAACTTAAACTGCTTCTCGAATTGAAATAAGGCTGCTGAACTTGGAGGCAAGGGTTCTTTTCCCAATTTGTCTATAGCTTCCTTTTGAAACACATTGTTACATTTTATTGATTTTTGTTATCCTGGGTAAATAAAATACTAGCTAAAAGGCTGGGCATGCAGAATATTTGAGTTACAGATGTTTGAAGGGGAAAGCCTTTGAGTTAAGGATGATTTTAATGCTTTGCTTCAATCGGAATTCAGACAGGGGCTTGAAAAATTTTCCAATAGCGAGGTATGAGTTATTGGGGCTCAACTGAAATTTCATGTTGACGATTTTGGTGTGTCTACACCTGTATATATCCCTGTGTTATTTTGCTCTGAATTACCGCATGTTTTTTTTCGGGTTATTATTTTCGGTGGGAAGAACAACCCCAAAAATAGGATTGGCTCGATTTTTTATGCCAGATGCGTTTGACCCGACTGATGCTGGCGAGATCAAGAGTTGCTCCGATGCCTCAAGGATCGGATGATTGTGGAGAGAGGAAAAACATTGGGTTGGCCAGACATCAGCGGTTGGTTGTTTTTCCTGGGCATTGATCGATCGTCTTCATGAAGCAATCCGAGAGATACAATTGCCGATCCTATACAGTGTATATATGCGAAGGATTCGACGCCGACTTTTACTCAATGTCCGATCCGAGGGCGTTTTGGCCTCTCTTCGCGTGCTTCCCACGCACTCGTGTTGAGGTGGGACCCACGGGGTGTTTCTTCCTTTTCGACGGTGATGACGATGAGCTTGATTAGGGCCATGGTGCACTGGTGATGCAGGCCGAACTGGTTTCTTTTTTTTTTTAGGGTGTTGGTGGTATTTTTTTTCACGTTTTAATCGGTTTTGGGGATCGATTTGGGACACGTGTTTGAAACTAATGTCGTGGAAAAAGAGTGAGTTCAGCATCAGCAGTCGACACAGATAATTGCGAAATTTAAGATGCTTTTGTGGCAGGAAGAGCTAAGCAAAATTGCAGGCATAAAAACAAAGAATTTGTGCGTCCGAGGCACGCGAAAAGACGCAGTGACGTTTTGGCAATATTATCGACGGTAAGTTGAACATCAGATTTTCAAAAATTTTTACTCCACTGCTGTGGAATCGAATTAAAATTAAGAATGTTTTTTGAAATCTTCGGAAAATTTAGCCAAGATTTACGCGATTGCGAGGATTTTCTCCATATTGTTCAAGTGCTAAAACTGCGTTATAATTCTTTGCCGAAAATTCCACCTGAAGCTTAATGTCGGTATAGCATTGCACTCTTCACAGGAGAAACCCACGAGCAGACAAAACTTGAAAGAAAATTCCGTGTAAAATGAATATTAAATTTTTACGACTTCCAGTAGCATGGAAATATTTCGACATTCAAACGCAGAAGGCATTAGAATACGAATTCGACTCAGCAGCAGCACTTCGGCAATTTTCGGATGACTGCAAATTTAAGAGGAAAACTTGCAGTGTTTTTATGAATTTGAAAAAAATATTTCATCGGCTTGATTTAGAATCCTAGTGTGTGTGGCACCTGTTCTTCTCGTGTTCTAAGCAGGAAATAAATGAGCGGAAACATGACAGGAGAAACGCCGGGATACTCCTATTTAATTACCGGGGATGAGAAACATTTCGAACGCGTGATTTCTCTTCTTTCTCTTGTCTTCGGAATGCGATGTGGGGATCACATCGATCTTCATTCGAAATAATTTCTTGTAGACGCGTCTAAAAAATATAAATTACGGTTTTTTTTAGTTCGGCCAGTCTACTGTCATTTTATATCCTATAGGCAAAAAGCAAAAAAATTATTCGATTCAAAGACCGAACGAAGTGTGTCATTGTACTGTGTTTCACGCCACATTTCCTTCAATGTGTGAACATCTCCACGGAATTTCGTTTAACGAAATAGTTTATTTGTTTTTTTATTAAACCTGGTTCATTATTACGGTATATACTTGTCTAATCTGTATCAAGGTGGAATGGGTCTAATATTTTCGTACCTTCAGGCGTGGTCACTATTTTCCTTGTAATAAGTTAAGAGTTTGATCGATTCCTCGCTTTCACCGTTCGCAGACCTGGTTTTATCCGAGTTTTATCCGTATCTGAATTATTTTCCCACATTTCTCAATACCTCAAACTACGGAAGCATTTGAATTTTTCATTTCCTCGCACATTCCGGCAGATAACGCGTGAGCGGGTAATCACTGTATTGTGAAAGTTTTCAAGTTCTTTTTTTTTTTCAAGATAAAGAGCGTCGAATAAGTCGAGTTTTGAAGTTTCCTTCGACGGAAATGAGTTGAATGCGAAAGTTTCGCGCATTTGAGTTTCAAAGAGGAATATTTCTGCATGTTATGATAATATTTTCCTCAAGGGTGTCCGAAAAATATCTGCGTGTGCGTGTAAAGATTCGATCGTTCAGCAGAGACTTTCCTCATGACTATATTTTGCACGCAATTTTAATGAATATATCTTTGGCAGGCCATCAAGGCATGTAAATATTCATAAGAACCTCATCTGCATTTATATGCTTCTTTTAAATATTCTCGATCCCGTGAAAATCCTCGTGAAGAGAACCAACCATTTACACGAAAAGCGAAACATCTGCGGAGATTTCTGGAAAGGAAAAGCTGAGAAAATGAGAATTCTCGCACATATTTAAGCATTAGTAATGGTTGAAAATCCGCAGCAGCAAAATTGACAAATCATGGGTTTGATTTCTTTCCCGCGGTCTTTCTGACGATGACGAGAAGCTTTGCTTTTCGCTGATTTTGAAAACTGTTGAAATTGAGTTCTTGAATTTCAAAGAGGAATATTCTCGCATGTCATAATCATCATGAAGAACATATTTGCGCAGTATATAGTTATCGTTGAAAGTCCACGGCAGTAAGATTGACAAATCACACGTTGGATTTATTTCCCCGCGTCTTTCTGAGGATGGCGATGAGAAGCTTTGCTTTTAGTTCTTCGTGGTGTATTTTCGAGACGTCCTATATTTAGCCCGCGATTATTTCACTGACGTCAAAGAAGCAGGGGCCATTATATCAATTTGCTGCTCGAAATATACCCCCATAGCCCTGGTCGACATTTTGTGACGAGCCTCATCATCAGTCATATCCCTGCATTGCGAACAGAACCCGTCTCACGATCTGCGATTAAATGCACGAAGAAGACGAGGATATTAGCGAACCTTGAAGAAAAAAAAAACAATAATGAGAGAAGAAGAGAGTATTCGGGGGAACTGTTCTGTATATTGCGCGACTTGTCGCTGATTACGGTTATTAATTCTCTCGCTTTCGCTCGCCTGGAAAAGCTCAAGCGTTCTTCTTCTCCTTATTTTGCTGCTGGTGTCCTCTTTCTTGGGACTGGAAACGAGGGGATGATGAAGTTCGTGCCAGGAAGATTACATTGTGTCTGGGCAGGCTCCAATGACAACCGCGTGGCAGAACGTGGGAAGACTTCGTCGGGGAGTTGTCAGAAATGGGTGCGGAACAACTGAGGCTCTTCGAGGGGTCCAACAAATATTCTTGGAATAAGCATTGAAACTGCAATAAGCTGGAAAAAAATTGTTGTTGCGAAAACAAATTTTTTTTTTTGGACCAAGGAAAGAAATTCAGCAATGTTTGATATGGTTTTTAGAAAATATTGGCAGAAGTAACCCTTGGGTCTAACAAATGCTTTTGGAATAGAAACAGGGATGGCATAGGATTGAATTGAAATACAATCAATTGTTCAGTATGAAACATGCCTTGAAGCAAAAAAAAAAAAGCCAGCCTTATTTTACATGCTTTGTATGATAACATTATTTGCAGATATCACCCTTTTGGGTCTAACAAATGTTCTCAGAATAGAAGTTGAAACTGCATACCATTCAGCTGAAAAAAAATTATTGTTCAAATAAACATTCTCTGGAACAATGAAAAAATGCAGCCTTGTTTGTTGTCCTTTTTTATATTTTTTTTTTACAATAGTTAGCCCAGCACCTTTCAGCTTTTCACTCAGAAAATGTGGCACCCATCTTTCAGATTTTCTTATATACCCCATCATTCCCTCCAGAATTCTAAAAATTGGCTTGGCATTAAGTCCAAGGGTTGCCAAAATTTATTGATTATTAATCACGCCATTTTTCATCAATACTGGCCGGCACAGCCTTTTGTTGAAAGTAGAATGTGGCGTCGGTGAAGGCAGTTGTTATACAGTAGTGAAAATGGCGGAATTGCCTGGGAAGACCGGGAAGGGAACCCGTGGAATTAATGCAGTGTCAATTTCAAAAAAATATGAAGGAGAAGCTGGGCTATGCAAGAAAATCTGCAAAATTAGCGTCTCATCTTTTGAGTGAAAATCAAAAAGCTGCCATGCAGGGTGAATTTTGCGCAAATGTTCTGCCAAATACGAGCATCGGCGCGAGATATTATTACCTTACGCAAAAGATTGTTTTTTTCTGGACAATGTACTTGTTTTCCGCTCTTCCTATGCCATTTCGATTTCTATTCCGAGAACTTTTGTTGGGCCCCTTGTACGTCTTGGGCTCATCCAGAGAGAGAGGGCCTCCTTTCAGCACTGTGGGGGACCTAGTGTCTGCACGAACATCTCTTTCTCGCTCTTCACCGTTCTTTTTTCACTTTAAAATTTAAATCACCTGGTGCAGTATTTGACGAAAGAAACCCCTCAATTCTTCCTGTTCAAGACAAAGAACCACTTCAGGGTTTAAAAATAAATGCATTGCTGCCAGCGAGATACATGGGTGGCGACACATGCGACCCGCGTTGGTAACCTCGTTTTTTTTATACAGTATATGCTAAGTTCCTGACTTTTTTTCTATGACAACTTTTCAACGTCACGTGAGGAACTCTGTTGCCTATTTTCATGTGCAACATTCCACTTTTTTTTAACGGGCATTATTTTTTTTACTGCGTTCAGTGAGTCCCCTTGTATTCCAAAAAGGCCAACTTTTTTTTTCAACTTCAAGTTGATTGCCGACTTGTCCATTCCACCAGCACTAATTTTTTTTCCGGATTATTCGCTTCAAAAGGAGAAACTTGATTTTTCGGCTATTTTTGAAAAGCGGTGCATCCCATTTTTAAAATTTCCATATCTAATGAACTTTTATTCAAAAGTATTGTTTAAGGAAGCACAATATATGATCCTCGAGTTGTGGACTTACATAAATTATCGAAAGCAGTTTGAATATAAGCATGCGTTCTGATGAAGATTTGTTGGATTGATTTTTTATTGAACTGAAAATGAGGATCAAATAATATGGCACGCGTAAAAAACGTAATACAGCTTTTTATCTCATTGAGCTTTTAGAGGGAAAGCATAACAAATTATTTATTTCGCCGAAATGTTAAGGCAATTTATCTCCATGCATCTGGATCTAGGAAAATGCAAGAAAAAGAATTTGAGACAGGACTGATTCAAGAGTCAAGACCATCCTTATTCAAGAGAGGCACTATTTGGCAGAAACTTTTTGCGACAGGGACAATGTGAGGCAAACACCGTTTGATACAGAGACAATTCAAAACAGACGTATTTTGAGACACAGACAATGAGAGATTACACGGTTCCGCGCGGATCAGCTTTTTGCTGCTGTTCTGGGTAAGCTTCAAAATTTTACAACGGAACATTTCAATAAGGCCTGTATGAACACATGGACCAAAAGGGCTGATAAGCATCTAAAAATGGGTGGTGATGACATTGAAAAGGTGTCTGCCTAGCTTCTTGGAACCAGTGAACATGAGAAACTGTTTAAAAAAAATCTCTGGTGTGTTCAGATCATTTCAAGTCCGCGCCAAAATGAGTCCACGCTGAAACGCGTAACCACTTATACATTTGAGATATTTTGAGACAAAGACTACTTGACAGAGAAACATTTGCCACATGACTTTCCAGAGTTTCTCCCTGATATCTTATATATTTAAGGTGTGAAAATAGAATAAAAATTTCACTGTTTTCTCAAAAGTTAGGCTGCCAAACTCATATTTTTATACTTAGAGACATCACTTATATATTTCTGTAGTACAGTATAATGAAAGGTGACTCTTTACTTTAGAAAGGTACAATAATGCAAACGTTCCTGAAGAGCGGAACACGATTTACAGAAATAAATAAAGGAACATGAATTCGAATCTCATCGCAATTCATCTTTTTGCAGAATTCGTACCCCGTCCATGTACAAATTGAAATGGAAAACTGCGCGAGATTCGCCGATTGTGCCACAGTAATTTCGGCGGGTTTTTTTTCCGGACATATTTTTCTCACTAGAATTTGTCCACAAAATGCTAGCTTATTGAAAGACTCGAAATTCGTATTCTTCCCAGTTTGCGAAGGTCACAACATTTTCGCAGTGCAGCAATTGAAAGACTTTTCGGGAGAGCTTTTATTGTTCTTCAAGCAATGTAAATGATTCCCATGAGCATTTTATCCAAATGCAGAAGAAGAATCGGCGTTGTTCATTCCATTCGTTTTAGCAATCAAATCCCACTTCGCACACCCCCGGCGATCTCGAATTGCTTGAGCTCATCGACATTCCCATTGTGTTCAAGAGCTTTTTCTCGAGTTGAATCAGAGCCTTTCGAGGCGATCCTTTTCAGGTCGTGATTATCACCTATAATACATTGCTTTTTTTCTCTCTCTCTCTCTTTTTCAGAACGCCCACGAATCAATGAACCGGGTTTGAGTTTCAAGGATTCTTATCGGCGAGAAAACGCGGCGTGTTTTTCTTCTTATACTCTTCTTCGTGATTGTGAGAAAACGGGGCTCGGCCCGATTTCGATGGCTGAGTCGGCACAAACGTGATTCCGTTCTTTTCCCTGAACCGTGGAGTTTTCCTTCTTCAATATTCTGCGTGCGCAAGTTTTCCCCCCGAAAGAAAGATTGGAAAAGCAATCAAGAAAAACGTCTCGTCTCGAAATTACTTCTTCGAGAGCTCTGGACAGTTTTTCCCCCGTTCTTGCGATCGGAATCTAGGTTCCAACGACTTTCTACTCGCCTGCATGTGAGTAAAGTGGAGCAGTGTCTATTTTATTTCAAATAACGCTGTACTGTTTACAGCGGTTCCTGATATAATGAATGTTCAGTACAGTGGGACTCCAAGGTGCAGGATGCTTTGTACTTGGACCTTTGTTCCAGTGTTGTATTATCTACATATGGCAAATCGCATTTTCCCACGGTCTTCGATGCGAAAATGTTGAATAGGTTCTGAGCATCAACAATTGAGAATAAGTCTACCAAATAATTGAATGTAAAATGTTTCCTTCAACTTCAAGATACAGAAAAACAAATGTGCAGAAGAATCCAATGCATAATCTTATCTTTTGGTATCAAAAGTACTTCAAAAACCAACGAACCAGAATATGTCTTGCAATTCTGTGCTCGCAGATGATGGATGAAAGGAGCACAAAATCAACCTATTTTTGATCATGAAGTAGAGCTTTTCCTAATGCGTTACCTCAATTTATTTGAGAGATATTAAAATTTCAAAAATGAACTCATTCAATTTTTCTAGAAAATATTGACAATAAAGGTTCCCTATCTTATTGAGCCATTGGCCAAATGTCAAGGCATTTTTTTTTTGCATTTCAAGTGTCCCAAAGTCAACTTGTCCCATGTCAGGGTGTCCACATGTTGGGGTTTCTCTGTAATTTTTTAAAAATCTACAGCCATTGTACCTACCATTTTTTTCCACTACAAATTATGATTTGCCGTAGTCTTCAATTTGGAATAATTTAATTTTTTACAAATAAGCAAAACAATTGGGATTTTTTTTTACAATTTTTAAATTTTCTATCATGTTCATACAAATTAAACAAATTGGTGGAGAAAAATCCTACCTATTAAGTTTTTCTATTGAGAAGACATTTCCATGTTACAGTACTGTATCGAATGCCCACACGAAAAAATGCAAGTCAAAGGGGGTTTAAAGCAAGACCAACACTTCTCAAAAATGAGTTTTCATCTCAATTTCATTACAGAAAGTGTGCAGTACAGCAGCAGTGTATGAAGTCTGCTGAAAAAGTCCTTTAAAAAAGGTTTTTAACTCAGTTTCATTGTGAAAAGTTTAGATTTCAGATTTTTAACGTAACGTCAAGCAAGACCAGAAATTCTCAAAAATTATTCTTCACCTTCATTTGACTTCAAAAAGTGTGCAGTGCGTCTTCAATTCATGAAGTTTGCTACGAATGTCCTCGGAAATTGCTGGTACCAAATGCAGTACCTCGATTGCTCAAATCCAATTTTAATTTAGAAAATTAATCAAGGATTTCTGCTGGTCTTCCGCAGAAAACTGGCGGCGATTGGTGGAACAATTCCCGCTGTCAATCGTTGTCTGGAGCAGAAAGAAGGTCTATTCGGGTCGAGGACTTGATTGACGGTGGATTTTCTTGCGTCATCGAATCTTCAACTTTGTAAGTACTGGCATTCTTCCATCAATCTCTTCCTGACGCATTAATGCGAGAAAACTGCGAACCTGCCCTTTTGATTAGCCTTCCATCAGCGCATGTTCATCGTATTCGATTTTGCAATCGACTGCTTCGTAATTGAAACGTTATTACGCCTATGATAGCGATGCAGAAAGCTTGACGGACATTTTATGAAACAATTTCCAGCGGATAATTCGACTTCAGGGACGAATATTCTGAACAAGAATCGGTAGGATAATTTGGGCGAACCCGTTTTAAGCGTATTGCAAAGGCTCCATCCGGTTGAGGGTTCCTCTAAAGTTTGTGAAGTGTCCATATTTTAATCGGTATTGCAGTTGAATGAAAAATGCCCAACCATTTCAGACACCTTATAATAAATTCTTTGATTTTCTGGGACTTATTCCTGATTTTTGATCAACTGCTGGAGAACAACCTAATATGTTCCAAAAAAAATCCATGGGAAAAATGTGATCCAAGATGCAGACGTTCCAACTTTGGTACAAGGTCCTTTACTCTAAGACTAATTACACTATTATGTCAACATCTTGGGGATCAACCATGCTTTGTTGGTCCCTCTGATGCGCATATATTTCAACAAGGGGTAGGTGCCCAGCCTCACCCGGGCATAATGAATGAATTTTCACAACTATTTTCAAAAATGTCATTGATTGAAGCTGATTACAAGCTGTGCAGGATTTTCTGGTAATCCTTTTGGCTTTCCATCTACCTGCAATAAATGCTCATTTTCCAATGAATTGCAGTAGCCCATAATGATTGGACAGTGTCAAGTCTGTTTCCATCAGCCAGGCTGTGCAAAACAATTTTGTACTTGCACTTCTGTGTTCCAGTTTGACCAAAGTTCACAAAAATACAGATTTGGCTGAGTGGCCAAAGTTCAGAAAAAATCCAGGGAACTGAAGATCATTGTTTTAAAATCCCCCCATGCTAATCCTATGGCAGGAATGCAGAAAAAATGCCACCCAGCAGTGAATAATTTAAAAAAAAATGAAAATTCGTTTCTGCACAATTAAAAAAAATTCTAATTATCTGGAATTTGGCTCTTCTGATCGAGTAAGGTTTTTAAATTTTTCTCTGTTATCTGTTTCTAAAAATTGTGCAAATAAATCCCGTTAGCCTAACGGTTAAGGAGTGGCTCACAGTTGGTGAATTTGAAGAAAAAAAGAATTTATATGTTGCAAGATTTAAGATTATATTAGCCGAGTATTAAAGTGGGTCCATCACAGCATCGTTTTCCTACTTGCTGCGAAAGAATAACATGAGCTTTCCCAGGATCAAGATTCAAAACAAAAACAAAAAAGAGTGTTCCAACAGCGATGCTCTCATTCCAAAACCCCATCAGACAGCGACGCCGGGGAGCAGCCTACGAGTTGAGATGCATCACGGTCCTCGGATTCCCCATTGTGTTTGAAAGGAGGAAGCAAGCAAGCAGTATAGGAAACATCCTTGCAAGCAGGCAACGATATAATGAATGGCTGCACAATTCCGCAAAACCCCGTTTCAACAGCGCAATGACTGATTCCCCATCTCCACGCGATGCAAACGCGTCTCGAATAATGCGCCGGAGTTAATTGTAATTAGCCCCCGGCGGCGGCGGTCGAGAATCCCGGGGCTTGACGACGCGAGAAGTTCAGGCTCAAATAAGTGGGAATCACTTCAACGGCGGCCAAGAAAGAGTAGATATACAGTGTGGCCTTTGATGTTTGAGTGGGGATGAATCATTCCTGACCTAACACAATAAAGACCGCAGAACGAGCGCCGTTCCTTGAGAGCATTCAACCTCGGAAGCTGCTGAACCTCTATGATCTTTTAGCTGTGGAGAGAACTGTGAAATGCAAAGCAGGGGTCGTCTGGGTGCTATGAAAAGGTTTCCTTCCAAAAATATTGAATTGCCATGGAGAGCAGAAAGAATGAGTTTCAGTTGTACCTCTTCTATAAGTCGAGTTTCTAGGGACCAGGAAGGAAAAAATTCGACTTCGGGAGGTTTTGATTTTTGGAGGCTTCTATTCCAGAGAAAAAAGAAACACTTTTTTGTGAGGAGAAATTGAAATAAGTGTGGGAAATCATGAATGAGGATATTCTGGGCCAAAATTAGCTCCTTAATGAGTTTACCCCTTTTTGAACTTTGAGGCAGGGATTGATTTGCTATTTTTGTCTTTCAAATCCTTTCAAGATGCATCAAATTATTTATTTTAATCAGTTTCTATTTCATATTTCAAGGAAATAATAATCGGAAGGCCTCAGAAAATTTGACTTACAGAGGTTTTAGAAAAAAAATAATTCGAGTTAGGGAGGCTTTTAATGTATCAATTCCTAGGGGCTTCAGACAGGGACTTGAAAAAAATTCGACTTAGGGAGGATTGACTTATCAAGGTTCACCTGTATATAATGGTAGTTATAATGGGATTAGGTGAGCAGTGTAAAAAATTTGACAAATGAGTTTGGTTTGACCATTGCTACAGCATAATACAGTATCTTCTTTTTGTGAAATTTCATTTCTAGGACAAGATTTTCCCTGTATGCCCTTATTCTTCTTATTCTTTAGTTTCTTTGTATCTGAAGCATCTCATGTTTTTCATGTTTCAAGATCGGATTTATAAAAATTGAAAAAATCAAGCATTTATTCAGCATCATTCATCCACACTCTACAAATTAATGGGGGGGGGGAATATACTGTGCTGGTACAGCAGACGACATCTTAAAAATGGAAATCTCGATGGAAAAAAGTGCCAATTATCATGAACTCAGATTAAAATATCACGCCAGGGAAAACGAGGCGGAATTCGTCGCTTTTATCGGGAGGATGTTCTTTTGCGAACAGGTGTAATCTTGAAAGAAAATTACGAATAGAAAAAGCATGAGAATAAGATGAAATACCTTGAGGGAAAAGGACATGCAGAATTCACGTCTTCTCTCGGCCTCAATCACTTTACGCAGTCCCTGGAGAACATTGAGCGAAAAAACCTCGAAAAGACGGAGAAAAGAACACACAGAAGTTCAAAGTAGCAGCTGCTGTTGGAGGAGCTGAAGACGAAGAAGCGCAGCTTAAAGGTCAAGAAAAGATTAAAAGAAAATAAGTGGCTGCTGGTGATAATGGCGCTAATGGAGTTGACCTCTGGGAACTTTGTTTTAGTCCCAGTGACGTGTCGAAATCGACGTTACTTACTGTCACTCGCCGCTTGTACCGGTGATGAATCACCGAATAAAAACGAGCCCTTAAAAAATGGGAAAGACTCGAGTTTGCTGTGAGCCGAATGCGTGTTTGGAATCGTTGCAACTTCTGGACCTCTGGGTTCCTTCATGAATAATAAGAATCCCCGGGTTTCTCCTCCAGTACCTTTCTCCAACATGAAGGGAATGCAATGGAATTTTTCGTTTCCCTATAGCTGCTTTCGGGTTCATCTGAAAAATTGCCCGTTTCCGAAATCCGGACAAGTGATTAATTTTGCTCCGATGCCGAGATTCTTCAGAAGAACAACAAATAAAAAAGAAGCAGCCAATATCAAGCGATTTCGTTATTTATTTTTTACTCCTAGAATCACTGAAGGTGTATATAAGACAGGGCATTTTTTGGCTAGAAAAAAATCTCTTCAGTGACTTCATTTGTTTGATTCCGGTCGTGCGAAAGATGAAAAATGAAAATGAGAGTTCCTCGAAATGATTGAGGAAGTCACGCGTTTCTCGAGAAATCCATCCTTGAATTTCGATTCGTTCTTTGGAATAACTTTCAATCGAACAGTGGAACGAATGGTTTCAATATTTTAACAATAAATCCAAAAATGAAAATTGATTGTGAAGATTTGAAAAATTCTTTCCAGGAAGTAGAGAGAAATGTTGGTGAATATTATACTACATCACGCTTGATTTCTTGAAAGACATATTTTGACTTTCGGTTTGCACACCACGAAAATTGAAGAATAAATTGAAGATTCGGTTGAACCCCGACATACAGACACCCAAAAATATAGGCGATTCGACGTAAGGACATTTGAACGCAAGAAACATTACCTCGAAATCTAGACAATTTCGCAAGATGCGGACATATTCCCAAATTTCTTTAAAATTTGGAATTAATGTTTCTGCACATTTCATGAACAAGTTGAGCTACTTATATTCACAAAAATTGAAGAAAACAATTTAATATAAAATTACTCCATTCATAATCAAGATCAGGCTAATAGTGCGCATCATTTTTAAGAGTTTTTTGTTCGTCATGTGTTCAAAGTGTAGCTGGACATTTTTTTTTTCATTGCTTCTTCATATCCTTCTGATGCCAAATTTCGTTTTCTGTATTGTTTTCTTCAGAAAAATTTTCTTTGGGGTCTGTATTCCCAATTTTGATAAACCATAAAATCCATTTTTGGATCTCTGGTTTATCAAAATAATGTAACCTGAATAGGTTCCTATTGAAGTCCATGGGAAAGCATGATCTGACTTATGTGTGCTCCGACATGTGGACAAGGTCCAGAAACCAGTTATGTCCGCATTTTGGGACCCCACTGTATACATGCATTTTTTCTAGCGATTTTTTTTTTCGCCTTTCTTGGATGCTATTTCTGTTGCATTAAAAGTTGGAGGAAAAAAATCACCGACAAAAATGAAGTGGAAGACAATCTGACTGTTTACTTCCAAAAAGGACACGGCATGTGATCTGTATATAGAGTCCATAAGATGACAAACTTTTGCTCTTTCATTTTGTGCTTTCCTCAAGTATGCGGTAGAAAAAAGAAGTCCAAATTTGCTCATTCGATTATTGTGGCCTGTTTTTTGAAGAGAAACGGGAAGTTGCATTAAAGACCATGAAATCTGCGCAACGACGGAAAGCAATGCTCGTGATGAGATTTCTGGAAAGCTTTTGTCCCAGAGCAAAATTTTTTTGCGCTCAGAACTTCATCCTCGCGTATACCCCAAGTACTTTCAGGTGCCTCGCCTTTTTATTTTTGAAAATAAACGGAGAAAAATTTTGGGGGAAAACATTCCAAAACTTTTCACGGTGGAATCGATTTTCAACTCGTGTTCCGCAGAAGATAATTGAAAACATACGGATGAGCAAAAGCGTTCTTCCTCAGGGAAGGGAAAGCCCTGCGTTTTCCCAAGAGAATACATTTTTTTCGATTTAAAAAGGAAAATAAATTTCACCCGAAAAGGAAATCTACTTGAACGAAGAAACGGGTTTTCACCGCGTTCCGTAATATTTACGAACATTCTGTACAGTAAATGCATTGCAGTTTTCTCATAAAATAAGTAACTTTTTGCCAATCCAAGGGATTTCAGTTTAGAATCCTCTTCATGCGAAAATTACGTGTTCAATTTATACGAGCTTTACTGATTTCCTCCCCGCAAAATTCAATTAATTTATTTTTGCTCAATATTTCACAAATTGCAGTTGCCCAGAATTGATTACGGTATCGTACACCATTTCCTGGAAGTTCTCCGTTTAACCGCGTTTTTAAAAAATATTTTAAACTCAAACCTTCTCCAGTAATCCATTAAATCATGAATATAAGTTTCAAGTTGTCTTGAAGGCCCAGCACCGGCAACTTCGAGTTTGAAAAATAAATTGGATGCAAATTGGGGAATAGACAATGTCAAAGAGCTCTGGGAATGTATTTTTCTGAAATAAATGAAAGGGATTTTCTAATTTTACAAGTAAGCGCACAGAAAGTGCACATCCCTGGCGAAATTTGAAAAATCAAATGGATAAAAACAGCACTATTACTTTTTTTTTGTGCGTGATTTTTCTGCTAAAGCTGAGTGAAATTTCCGTTTTTTGAATTTCCTCGCATAATTTTTTACTGCTCATAAAATGTGCAGCTATTTTCTAAAACCAAGAAATTACAAACCGCGTATAAAGAGGAGTTTGAAAAAGTGAGACTCGAGGTAAAAGTGGCAGTCGAAGGACGCATTTTATGGCACAAGTATATGGAGGGGGAAAAATCCGTATAGGAACAGCGTGGTCAGTTATTGAGAGCAAGGTGATGTTTGAAGTGTCTTATCGTAACACAGCTGGCACTCGGTATTTTCCCGCTTATTTTCTTATTCTAAAAACGGATCACGAAATGGTTGTGGCTTTGCAATTACGAATCGTTCGGAACATGTACTTAATTCGGCCGAGTTTCTTTGGCAGCGAAATGTTTGGGGTCGACTTCCTTCCGGCTTTTTATTGCAAGAAGCGATTTGAATGCCATGTATGAAATCAAATGCAGATTATTGAATTTGCATTTAATTTATTTTCTCGGGGGGAGGTGGTTGAATGAACCACACCCCGTATGATATGCATATGCATCTTGAGTGCGGAAGTCATGTTTTCATCTTTTTCGATGATGAAATATTATCAAATGGCTTGAGGCCCTGTAATGCGGTTGTAATTTACCTTTGGACCTTGTTCATATATACCAGGAAGTCGGCATT